GGGCTGGTGGGGAGCGGGGCCGGGACGGCTTTTCTGGCCCTTGCCCGGACGGGGCGGCGGACGGTGGTGCCTTTCCCCCGCAGAGCTGCAAACCGGACGGTTTTTCTGCGAGCAGGGGTTCGCCTCTTGCTGTCTAGTTACTCGCTTGAGATAAAGTGATTTTACTGTATATATTGTTATATACTTGTAAAGAGTGAGAAAACTTCCCAAAACCTGCCTGGTTTTTGGTTCTTCAACATCTAAGCGTGCACTATTGCACCTTCCTTTCTCTTCATAAATAGTCTCACTAGACCTAGACTTTCGTTTACTTAGTGAATCAGTTTCATTGCTTTCAAAGACAGGAAGTTTTACCTTCAGTTTGTTATCCATATTTCACATACACAGTGTAAATGACAAGTTTGGGATTTTCAGAAATTTCAGGTTGACTATCAAGAAATGAGGGTTAGGACGTCATGTGCTGGACTGCAAAATCTTCTCCAAGGACTGAGCTTCAGTGTCAAACACTACTCTAAGCATAACCATCTTCAAACAGTATGTCTTTATAGTAAAATAAAACCAAAAAAATGCCACATCCTGGGCTGTTCAGGAAGTACGTGCACACAGAGGACTCTGGCACCTGGAAGCATCCTGACATGGAGATTATTTTCGTGCAAGGTATGCTGTTTAACTAGAGACTTAATGTCAACAACCACCTTGGCACATCTGTTAAAGAAGCCAGCCATATCTTGCAGATGTCTAGGAAACACATTTTTGCTAAAGAGTTTGAAGATGGGGGGATGAATACTAGATTTTCAGTTATGTTCGAAGACATATACTATTGTTCAACTTTCCTATACTGTTTTGATGTAAAGCTGCATTTTGGTCGATTTTCCTACTTTAGCAACTTTAAAAAAAAAAGTATCATCCAGAAAGATTCAGGTAAAGTGTCAGAAAACAACTGCAGGGAGAGATCAGCTAGTGTAGAGACAAAGTGTCCAAACTTAGGACACCAGCCTTAATCACTGCAAGCTGGTTCAAAAAAACTTGACCTTTTCTGTGCTGGTCTGCAGCATGTCATGGTTTGCAGCAGATTAATATTAAAATATTCTATTAAGTTCTCATAATTGTATTCACATGTGGTAAACTGTACTTTAAAAGGTACTTGGGTGTATTTCTGCAAGTAAATATTGTGTAAATGGGTGGCAATGTATGATGCACAGAGTCAGAAAATGGTCAGAAATAATTTCAGGTGTCCGCTTCCTCCCTTTCTGATACAGGTAAAGGTATTATAAAAGCTTATTGAAGTATGATAGCCTATAAGCCAATTTAGATGCATAAATACTGTTTAAAATTATTAGTGTTTTCATTTATTTTAACGTAAAATTGTTTCAAGTTGACAGTGTTTCCTCAAAGGTGACTCAAAGATCATCCTGTTGTAACCCTCTTATTTCTACCCAAAATATAAACAGTTCCTAAGTTTGTGTCTGAAATGTAAACAAATGTTTCAAGGAGAACAGATGAAGTCTTTTTGGATGAGTCTTTTTGGTTCTGTTTATTCATTGGCAGTTCACTAACAGTTGCAGATGCAGGTCTGCTACCCTGGTTCCAGGGTACAAACAGGTGGTTTTCACCTGAGAGGAAGCTGTGCCTGTTTGCTTTGGAACAAATGTTTGCAACCTGATTGTCACTGAGATCCTCTGCTATCCTCAAAAATCTTTCTAGATGCTCTTCTAGATGACTGTATCTTCCCCAGTCAAGGAAGTGTATAGTAACTCTAATACATACCTACACTGTGGCCACCAGCTCTGTGTAGTATTCCCAAATAAATACAGTGGGAACTGTTGAAAGCAAAAGGAGAGGAATCATCGAAAGATTCATAAAGAGTGGAACTTGCCCAAATAAGTTGTGGATGCTAAAATTTTACATCATTATAAGGGTAGATGATACATGTACATGAAAGAAGCTTTAAATATCCAGAATCTACATTCAGCTCAGAAAATTCCTGAGCTAAAATTGTTGAAGACTGGGGGAATATTGGGTAATATCATCTGTGCCTATCCCATTCTTATACTTCTCTAAGTATCCATTTGTTACCTCTGTGTGGTTTTTGGTTGCTTGCTTCTGTTTTGGGGAATGGTGTTTTCTTACAGCAATCTTCTGGTGGCTGGGGAGCGAGCAGTACAGCTGACACATCCTGCAATTTTGTTACCTTGACCAGTTACACAGTTGCTCTATAGCTTATCTGAGGGCTTCCACAGTTTCTTTGATTCATGCTTCTGATTTGATATGCTAGGCTAGCAGGACCGTTGGTCTGAACCAGTGGTGGACACTCATATGCTCTCATGAATGATGTGGTTTGTGTTCATTGGGAGTTTGGTAGCTGGAGAAGGTAGTCCTTCCTCCTTTCAAAAACCTACTCGCAATATGCACATTTTAGGTTTCGTGCATTTGTGAAGAGAAACCAGGAACATCAGTTCCTGATGCAAAGTGAGGATGAGGTAAAAAGTATATGCTGCCTTTTAAGTTTAGATGCATTCATGTAATACACTGAATGTGATAAAATGCTGCTTTGTGTGATCTGTGCAGTGTTATGTACTGTAATGTATGTTGTTACACTTATTATTCGATCAAAAGGGATTACACAGCAAGCAAAACTAAGTAGCATTTTGCTAGCAATTTTAACACATTTTTAACATTTTTACAAGAGAAGACAGCTTTGTTGGCAATGAGGTAGCAGTAGCCTGCTTATGTAGTGTGGAAAACTAGATCCTTGAGCTTCCTCCTGATAAAATTAGTGCAGAACTCATCAGTTCACTGCTTCACTTAGTTCTGTGCCTCATGAACATTTATACTAACATTTTTAAGGAGGTAGAGCTAGAGCCTGAACAAGCTGCTGAGACCCCTAGGTACAGGGACAAAAGTATGCGCTGCTTTGTTGTCTAGGAAAGGAAATGAGAAATTACACTCTTAAGACAGGAATATTATGAGAAAACACCTCTGAAGAAGGAAATAGAATTCCATAAAAACTAACTAAAAACTAATTCTGGAGCAAGTACAAACATATTTACATATAATCAATTAAGAGCATACATTAATAGTACACTAAATTTTGAAGAGAAGGCCTCAATAAATACGTGAAGTAAAGCACATTTGACATTGCATCCCTAAAAGATCAGGAAGAACTGCAAATAAAAACTTCTTCCAACTGTTGTTTTTCTTTTTAATGGCATGTACTGTTGTAATAATGCAGAGTTAGAATTGGGCCTGTCTATCAGAAAATATCATTATTCCCTCAATACTGTAGTACACTGTGCTGGCTTGTAGCCATTGTCGTCTTTCCTTACTTAGCAGGAAGAAACAAAACTCCCTTCCAAAAGGACACAAAATACATCCATAACAACATCAGAGCTTTTGTACAAGAATCTTCTGAAATCAGAGAAGGAAAACTGGAACGACATTTCAACAAGATACAAAGCTATGACAAAAAGAATTAAGGAAAGATTAGAAGAATTGCACAAGTATTCATTCAATTCAGAAAGCCCAAGGGTAAGTGGCAAAAAATACAAACATTTCTCATCATTGAGTACAAATAAAAGGCAATGAAGTAATTCCTGCTATAAAATGCTGTTTTACCGATTATTTTATGGTGATCGGTTTGAGGCTTGAGTGTCTTAATAATTGTGGATAGTAACAGCATATGTTTAGAACAACTTATACCTGTTATGGTAGTATATTTCCCTTAATTTCTGCGTAAGCAAAAGCAAGTAAAGATACAATAGTTATCTGACTTTTTGATAAATAATACATGATGTTGTAAGTTTCAAGAGCAACTGCAGGTGATCCAAGCCTTTTGGTAAATTTAGAGCAGGTATAGGTAGCTTAAGTACCCGACTTTGAAAGAACCTTTCTGATGTGTGCAGTTCCTTGTTTAGTATCAAATGTGTGAGCCATATTCTGTCATTTGTGTATGTGTTGTACAGAACAATGATTGAATATAGGCATTCTAAGGAAACAGTCTAGCTATATGTTGGACTTGAAATATCCTTTTTTTTTTATTGAGCAGATCAGGTTTGGAGAGAATGTGTACTTTGAAGAGAATGGCTGCATATTTCTTTCAAAAGCAGATGATGGTAAGGGATTTCTCCTAATGTGGTACGATTGTTAAAAATGTTGTGCATGTATCACTTGGTGTATTTTTTTTTTACATTAAGGCTTAATTGCTCATTGCTTAAAATAACTAAAAATAATTCTATAAAATTCTTTACTGATTTATTAATACTATAATCCTGAATCTGAAAAAGTGAGGTGAAGAGAGTTAGAGAATAGTGGATATTAATACGAAGGCAGGTTTCTGGAGAGAGACAGAGAGAGAGAGAAGTCACTTCTTTTCACAACCCTAATTTAACATTTTGAAAAAGAAAAAACACTCATTCATGTTTTTTTTTATTTCAAAGGAGGTAGAAAAAAAATTACTGATTGTATTTAGTAAAAACAACTGTGCTTTAGGTATCTGAAATTTAAAATCTAATACATTTACTAGAAAACAAGATACATACTTTAAAAATAATTTTAATACTAATTGCAAGACATGGGGTTTTTTTCCTGAAACTGTAATTTTTTTGTTTATTTGTACAGAGTGCATTCGCAAATCTCTTATAAGACAGATATTTGGTGTTAATAAATTCCTGTAGTATGCTCGTGAATATTGCAGGCAGACTTGTTAAATACAGGTCGTTCCTGTATTTAACAACCATCATTCATTTTGACAGTGCCTTAATGACAAGATTTTTTTGCTCTCTCTTTTTTTATGTAGTAGATGAAGAAAATGTTGACATTTTATTCAGTACTGAAGATCTTGGCTTTTCTAATGCCTTTATTCAACGGATGAGAATTTCGCCAGATCAGAGATACATGGCTATCGGCTTAAAAAGTGAAAATTCTGAAGAGGCAACCTGCGTTATTATGAAACTTGGTAATTTTCCTGTTGTGGAAGAAGTAATTCCAAACATATTTAGTTTTGGTAAGTTGTCTATAAATATCCTGTAGATCACACTAGCTTTCAACACAGCATTTTTGCTAGACTACAAATAATATTAAAATATTTAATTAAAAAAAGGAAGTAACATTTTAGGTTTAATCCTTACAGCTGTTGAATTATTTCTTATTTAAGATATCTTCCACACTGCACAATTACAAGTTATCTGGTGTGGATGAAAGTGAATGCTTTCGTGATACAGGTTTTCCTTCACTGTAAATGGAAGCATTTATACATGTTTGAACAGTCATGCATATCATTCATTTAATTCAATATGCTTCTTTAAAAATTTATTGACATAACTGTTTGCAGTAGAAAGATCTTTTTGAGAAATGTTCCAGTTATTAAACCCTTACAGCTACTACCAAAGTCACTGATGGCTGTAGGCACTCAGCTAAGTGTGCAAGTGCTACCTTCTGTGTTAAGTATTGGCTTGAATTTCAACTGGACTCTAGGATTTGGGTCACAATTCAGAGCCCAAAGCAGGCTCTGACTCGGGCCTTGAGTCAATTCTTTCAGAATAGATTAGAAAGTTTTACGTTGCTGTTAAAATAAGCAGAGGTAAACTGAAGTGAATGGGAAATATTTCTCTTTTTTATAGTATGTTAAAGAATATAGCAAAAAGAGTGCAATAGTATGTATACAAGTTCCACATCTTGTATTTTGGATTATACTGTTAGATATCATCAAGTATATATAGTACAGTAAGCAATTTTCCTGGGAAGGGCAAGAATTTAAAATTCTAGGTAAAACTTCCTATTTAAAAAATAAAAAGTAGCAAGAATTTTATGTTGCAAGTGTTTGCACAGTTGAAGTTTATAATGCCTGGTGAAAACCAGGCCTGAAAATTTGCCAGTGACATTTTTCACGATACTTGATTTGAACATTTATCTTGGTTTGTCTGGAAGAATCAGTACATTTAAGAAACCAACTCCCTGTTGCCTGCATAGGTGTGACAGATTATTACACATAACAAGAGTACAAAAAACTACTATCAGAATGGTAGAGATTACATCCATTTTGTAAACTTACTCAGGTAAGTGAGGTACAGAGGTATCATGAAGTACAGAGGTACCTCAATCATGACTAGGAGAATTAAGTCTTACGACCACTTGCAAAGTATATGCTTGTTTTGCATGATACACAATAGCAGGCAGACAAATTAAAGTTCTTGAAAATTTATTTCTGTTGTTTTTTAAATGCTAGACTACAGAAAACTTGGATTTCCCTTCTAAAGGCTTGTCTTCATAGTGAACCCTCAGCTACCTGTGCACTTTGAAGCCACACTGCTATTCAAACAGCAAATTGTTTTCATTATTTCAGTGTGGTACTTCTGTGGATTTTGTATTGAAAATTAGTATTTATACATAAGGCAGCATCCAGTAATTTTTAAAGCATATATATTAAACATTATTCTGGTGGCTGTAGGAGCAGCAGAGATAGCAGTAATTTGGCTGGATCAGTCAGATTACTAAACTTCAGAATAGCATGGTTCCTGTATTTATACATTTCTAATGTTGGTGAACACATACATAAGCATAGAAAACTGAAGAATTTTTATCTCAGCAGTACTCATGGGACACATGCATCATCTCTTTTTCTCTAAATTGTTTGCATGCAGTGATATGCAGTGGTGCAGAGCTCATATTCTCTTTATCTCGCTGACTCCAAGTAAACCTCTGTTCTTTGCTCAGTTTTAACCAGCCACACATTTTCTGTTTTCCTGTTACCTGCAGAATCCCCACTTCCCGGGCCCTGGAACACTGTAATTCTTCTCCTTCTCCTTCTCCTTCTCCTCCTTCTTCTTCTTATTATTACTACTACTACTACTGCTGCTGCTGCTGCTGCTGCTGCTATTACTATAGTACTACAAGATTGTTGTCCTGTGGTATTCAGAGAAAACATGGGAAAGTCTTTTTGTGGCTTACCCCAGCCTCTGGGATGCAGAAGTGGTGTCCTCAGTTCCATGTCAGCTGCAACCCACCTTTTTTGGCATTGAGTCCAGTGTTCCTGGAGCTTCATTTTCTCTCAGTAATATTATATACTGTTCCAAATTTGATATGCATTTGTCTTTTTTCCAGAATGGGCTACAAATGATGTTCTGTATTACACAAGTCAGAAGAACCTTAAGTGCCAGAATGTGTTTATGACCACTTTCACTAATCAGAAGCATACTAAGTTAGTTTATACAGAACAAGATGCAAGGTAATGCTTACCTAAAATGTAACAAATACTTTACATATTCTAGAGTATTTTATATGTAGAATATAACTGGTTTGGAAAACAAGGTCTTCTGTATCATATTCCAAATGGTAAAAGGCATTTTTAAGTTGTGTTGTGCTGTCAGTAGTGCCTTGTGCAGTCTGAGAACGCGCTCTGTTCTCCTCTTGATATGTGATCAACAGAGATTTTACTTTCCTCTCTTACCTCACGAGTTCAACTGAGTTTATAAATGTCAAGGTCAGTCTCAGGTCAGGGTGTCCTTTAATGAATGTGTGACAGTTTCATACAGGATAAATCAGACTGTGGATTTCATTTTGTTTTCTTTGCTATTGATGTCTGATGCATCTTTTAAAAAACATAAGTTCAGGCTAATCCTTGCTCTGGGTAATGGATGAGCAAAATCATTACAGCTTTCTCAGAGATAGAACTATTGTTGACTGAATACCCTCTCAATAACCTTTCTTTAAGCAGTGGTTTAGGAAGACAAGAAGGCTATTGCTAAATTGAGTGCAGAACTAGTTTTTCAGCCATGTAGCATGTGGTGGATTCATACAGCATTCCATAATTTTTGTGATTACTCCTAATTCAAATTACATATTCAATAAAGAAATTTCAATTATACTTTCATCTTTAAAAAAAACCAACTCACACACAGAAAAAAATCTACAACTCAGATAGAGTAAATAAGATCCTTTTGTTCCAGCTGCATTTGATGCATGCTTTTGGAAAATCAAGTTGCACTGACCTGACACTTCCCCACAGGGAAACTGTTGGCATAATTCTGAAGGTCATAGTCATTACAGTAAATCTACTAGAAACTTACTCTAAAGGTTCATATGCTGTTGCAGCTCGTAACTGAACTCACTTGTTCATCAGAGATGGCAAAACATTCTTTTGTATTGCCATTGAGCAGTTCTGTTCTGCATCTCACCAGCTCTTTCAAGGCCAATCAAATAATTTTTTTAGAAGCTGAAAATTTCTTGACTCCCTTAAGAAAAAAAGGCTACAAAGGATAAAAAAAATGCAATACCAAGCTCAGAGTCCCTGGGGAGAAGTGTAACCTGCATTTCAGCTTGACTCTTTTAGAGGTAAGGTCAGCAGAGCTGAACTCCTGGAATCTCTGCTGAATGTAGTGCTGCACTCTTGCCAAATTTGTGTGTATTAGCGAGGCAGGAGGCAGTTTCCTTGCAGACTTTAGATCCCCTGCTGTGTCTGCCTTCCTATAGATGTAAAGAGGGTGCAATTAGAAAAAACTAAGCTCCTTCACCTGCAAATAATTAAAGGCAGCAAAAAAATGCTATCTAAAGCATCCTCTCCTTCACCAAATACTTTGAAGTCTAGAGATCATTATTGCATTCATGTCTCCTATCTGTACACTTTAGATTATGGTACTTATCCCCACAATTTCTTCATAAAATCTTCTGGATCTTTGTATTGGACATAGTTTTGCTTTTGGAGACATCCAGTCTTAAAGATTGAAAGTGACAAAGAAATTGCTATGTCCCAAGATATGACATTCCAATTAATTAGGATGACTCATTAGAAATTTCAACCTGAACTTGTCTAATATTAACATCCAGCCACACCGGTTCTAATTCTGGTTTCTTCTTGATTTTAGAATTATTTAAAATAAAATAAAAATAAATAGATAGTTCCTGGTTTCCAGCTTTATCACTGCAACACTCCGCTTCTTGTCTCATAGAGCCCTCTGTACTTTTTTTAAAAATAGTCTTTTTCACCTTTCTTGCTTCAGACAAGTAAGACCTTTGTAGGTCAGTAGGCTCTTTATCAATTTAGCTTTATAATAGTGGCCACTTGTTACTGCTGCTCCCACATGATGTCCTTTATTAATTTTTATTATCCATTATTACTTTTTTCCAAACAGGATTACAAGCTCAAAAAAGAGTTCTGTGTTTTGCCTGAATTTTAAAGCCTGTATAAATCAATGAGCTTCCAGTCTATCTCAGTGACGCAAAAACCTTGATTCAGTTGGGCAGCAGCTGAACTGCTTCCCTTGCAGATTGTGGGCTTTTGAATTCCAGGATAAATGCAGCAGGAGTAGGTTTGGGAACCAAGTAGTCTGGAATTTCTCCAGCCTACTTACAGGAATTCTGGTTTTTTTACCTTGCTGATAGAAGCCCATGGTTCTGAAACAACTGATGTATTTTTTTAAATACTAATCAAGTGTAAGCTTTTTTTTTTTAATAATTATTCCTGACAGATTCTTTGTGGACATATATTGCACAAAAGATAGACGTTTTCTCACTATAAACAGCAACAGCAAGACAACCTCAGAAGTTTGGCTGGTTGACTGCAGGCATCCTTTTAAGTCACCCACTCTTGTACAAGCACGGACAAAAGGGGTCATTTACCACATTGAGCACAGAAATGATGAGTTATATATTCTTACTACGTATGGAGAACCTGCAGAATACAAGGTAATTTTAATTGATAATAAGATTCATAGGTTTAATTCAGATACCTGTTGCAGATCATATAGAGATAGTAAGGCTGGTTTTTAATTCTGTGCTTCACAGCTTACTGAAATAATTTGAGAATTACACAGAGAGCAGCATGCATTGAAAGACTGATAGCAGTACATGGAGCCTTGCCTGTAGCATGCTAATTTGAATCTAACTTATTTAGCAACATCTGGAAATGAGTATGCTTTAACAGTCATTTCCCCTGTCTTAAATTTTAAGTTGGTGACCTCAGTCTGTATAATCAAACCATCTACAGTTCTGCTGAACACACTGAAAGCACTTATTGCATTAAAATATTCTATAGACTAACCTGTGAGAATTGAACTTACTTTTCCAAATGTTACTGAATTGTTCTTTCATTTTGCCCAAGTAAAGGGAGTTTAAAAACCTCCAGTTTTATGCAGGCAAAACCTTTCAATACAAACCAATATTTTTTTTTGCAATAAAAACGTTGCACGAGGTCACCTATGTGTCTGTACCTCTCATTTGTAACTCTTACTACATCTTAGTAATGCAAGGTTGGGTTTTGTTTTTATAGTTGATGAAGGCACCAGTAGCTTCCAGTGGCATGGAGAACTGGCAGTTAGTTTATGCACTGAAAGAGAAAACCAAGCTAGTAGACTTGGAGATGTTCAGTGATCACTGTATTCTGTTCCTGAAGAATGCGGGCCATCTTTACTTAAATGCGATTTCTTTTGTTTCACATTCAGTTCAGTCAATAAAGGTACGTTTTAGCTTGACTTAAGCAGCATATATTTTTCCAGCATGATTTCTGTTATGTTTGTTGGGTTCTTTTTAGCATAACATTATAATGAAAGCAAAGATAAATTCCAAGAGTAGAAGCGTTTTGGAAACTACAATACTGCCAAATTTGTCATTACGAGTAATTGTATTACCTGTGGCTGTTCTTCAGGATTTCATGTGGTGGCTTATTGTAGCACTTAGAAAGTTAGAGAGCAGCTGTCCTATGAGTCAGTTCTTTCTTCAACTTATTACTGTCAAGCTCTTTACAATACAGCTGATTTGTAATGTAAATTAAGACTTGATTCCCTGAACACTCTTAGTTTTAGTGCACCTATTTTTGGTTACACTCATTGGTGTAAGCAAGGAAATAAGTATGGCCTTCCTACAGAAGAAAGATTAGAACATTCAGAAGACAAATATGGATGCTGTCCCATAATAAATGGGAAGAGTTGGTATTGCAGTACAATTTGTTCTGTAGTTGTTGCTAAATACTTGTGGATTAAAAACAGTGACTCAATTCAAAACCATGATTTCTGGAGACCATTCAGATGAAATATTTAATTGATTTGTTTGCCTGAAAAATACAATCTGAAGGAGTCACAAGTTTATTGTGACAAGCTACCAATGCTGCATTCTATAAAACTGCTACAGAAAAAAAGGTTTTCAACGAAGTATGGTCTCTGAAACCTTTCATCTTTGAAAATGGTTTTAGTTTATTTATTCAGAAAAGGTCTGCATTTACTCTGGAGAACTTGGACTTTTGCTGCCATTTCAGAAGTCTCTAGCAACCTAACCCAAGTAAGCAGTGGCCTGGCAGAGAGGGTTGACTATGTCCCTGCTGCTCTCAAAGAATGAATCTTGATTTCTTTTATTCTTAGCAGAGTTAAAAACCTTAAATATAATAGCAGTAAGTGTCTGAGGGTGAATGTGCCAGGAAAAGGTTTTGTTCTTCACAATGGCTGGCACTAAGAACAAAGTTAAGAGGCAGGGGTTCTCAGTGGCTTAGCATTACTGAGCTAACTCGCAGCAAAAGCATAACAACTGACATGGATTTGGCTGTATAACATGTTGAAGTAGGACTGCAAATCAGAGGGGAAATAGGATCTAAAAAAATAAAAACAATGCAGAATAATTTCAAAGAATGTTATAATTTTAAAAAAATCTGCACTAATGTCCATTTTAAACTTAATTTGGATTTATTTTTTTCTTTTATTTCATTGTTGAACTTTATCCAATGGCCCCAGGGGAAATGTTTGCCAAAGTCTTCCAATTTTTGACTGTTTCATTGCTGAATTTAAAAGAAATACAGATTGTGCTACACCTAAACTGAAAATAATTAGCTTGATATTCAAAATCTTTTCCTCTGAAGGACACATTAGGCAAAATTTACAGAAGCAGTGTAAGGGTCTCACTTGAAATGTTGTGTTTTCTCAGCTACCTATGTGGGCCTGCGAATTTGAATTGGAGTCTCATCCTGAACATACCACCAGCACTTGCTATTTTCAGCTCACCTCCCCAGTACACCCCTCTAATCGTTTTGCATATTCATTTAAAGAAAATAATCTCATTGAACAAGCTGTGCAAGAGGTACCAATTATTACGAATTGTCACACTACACGTTTACTAGCTAAAAGCAAGGTAAGACTTTTCAGTCCTTTCCCCATTCCCTTTATTCTTTCCTTCTTCCCCACACATTCAAAGAAAATGCATTTGGCAGAGATTAGAGATTTAAAAATGTAAAGAGCAGTTGGTGCTATAGTGACTAAACAGTGGGTGTTTTCTTCACTGCTATAGACAAGAACAAGAAAGAATCGTGATAAGACTTTTTTTTTTCCATTAACCTGGCTATGCTAGAGGAGATAACAGTACATGATGACTCAAGATCCTTAGTATACTATAACTTCAAATTGCTAGTTGATGTATGGCATCATACTTTCCATAAGTGAAAAAGATGCCAGCTGCTGAACACCCCACAACCAGCTGCACAGCGTAGATTAAGAAAGAAGAGTTTCAATAGCCTGAGTTTTAAAAAATCAGAGATGTTAATAAAGAGCTTGTGCTGCAGTAAGTGGTAAACTATTTTGTTAATAATAGATATTCTTGGTGTTAAAGGGGGAAGGAAGACTTGGGTGCTTTAGTACTTTAAAAACTCCTCAGGTGTTGCACTTAAATGAATTTTATACTCTGCATCCGTAAGCCTACACAGCAGAGGTTCAGTCTCTTGCTTTATTTTTCAAGAGTGCTTTGTACATTCTAAGTGAAAAAAATTACTATAATCAAAACAACACATTTTAAAATAAATAATTGAAGTTTTCATTGCCATGTGTCATTGAGATTTCTGAAATGTCCTTTATTGTAAAATACTCCTTCATTTCCAGGATGAAACTTTGGTGCCAATTACAGTTTTTCATAATACGAATTCTAAAGAGCTACACAGGAAACCACTTCTAGTTCATGTATATGGAGCTTATGGCATAGATTTGAACATGAGCTTTAAAGAAGAGAAGCTGATGTTAATTGAAGAGGGTTGGATATTAGCATATTGCCATGTTAGGTAAGGCAAATATAAAATGAAATTAAGATTTTAATCTGTGGGGTATACAGATACTTATTGATATGCAACTGAAAAGGTACAGAAATAATCTTTTCATGTAGCTGTGCCTAATTCTTCATGCTTTTTACTTCCGTCGCTTTTTAGATTTTTTCTTAAGTAGTTTTTAGCAAAAAAATAAATTTACCTCAGGAAAAAAAATTATACTCTCAAGACTACATACCTCATTTAGGTTTCTTAAATCAACAGGATAGTTGTATGTAGCTTTTAATCTTCTGAAGTCTCATTACTTCTTGTCTCATCTTAGCTCAAGAAAAATTTTGATAACATGTTCAAATTGCAATGATACGCTATCTCCCTCTCTTTCCGAGGGCATTGTGTACTAATGTTCAGCCTGCATCTTCTGAAAGCCATTTTTCTTCTACAGCAACAACTAAGCATTTGACCTGCATCTCTTGTTCTTTTATTGGCTAAATCCTCTGTCTCCAGTTTAGCTACAAATCTGCTAGTTTTATAAAACCACTATGCACAATAGGCTTTCACATTTTCATTGAGATAATAATTCAGTAGGCAAAGAAGATAACAAAAGAACCACTTTAGGGAGGAGAAGGAAGGGGTAGAATGAGCAATTGTTTGAAATACCAGTTCCAAAACAAATTCAGCATACAAATATATCCAGTCTGCTAATGCAGTGGCAAGCATTGTGCTGTTCTTCCTCCCACCCCTCTATCTTAAGGTGTAAGTGCAACATTCTGCACCTGGGTCATGGCAATCCCAAGCACAAATACAGGCTGGGTGGAGAATGGATTGAGAGCAGTGCTGAGGAGTAGGACTTGGGGTTGTTGGTTGATGAGAAACTCAACATAAGCCAGCAATGTGCGCTTGCAGCCCAGAAGGCGAACCACATCCTCATCTGCATCAAAAGAAGTGTGGCCAGCAGGGTGAGGGAGGTGATTCTCCCCCTCTGCTCTGCTCTCATGAAACCCCATCTGGAGTACTGGGTTCAGTTTTGGGGCCCCCAACATAAGAAGGACATGGACCTGTTGGAGTGAGTCCAGAAGAGAGCCATGAAGATTATCAGAGGGCTGGATCACCTCTTATATGGAGGACAGGCTGAGAGAGTTGGGACTGTTCAGCCTGGAGAAGAGGAAGCTCTGGGGAGACCTTATTGCAGCCTTCCAGTACCTGAAGGGTGTCTACAAGAAAGCTGAAGAGGGACTTTTTACAAGAGTATGTAGTGATAGGAGAAGGGATAATGGCTTTAAACTGGAAGAGGGAAGGTTTAGATAAGTAAGAAATTCTTCACTATGAGGGTGGTGAGACACTGGCACAGGTTGCCCAGGGAAGTTGTGGATGCCCCGTCCCTGGAAGTGTTCAAAGCCAGGTTGGCTTGGTCTAGTGGGAGGGGTCCCTGCCTATGGCAGGGGGATTGGACGGGATGATCTTTAAGGTTCCTTCCAACCCAAACCATTCTATGATTCTATGAAAAGGAATGTAAATACATTTTAAAATTCTGTATTACAAAATGTAACATTTCAAGTAGTATTTGAAATTCACAAACTAAAGAAAGTAAAGAAACTTTCTAACAGTCAGAAGATTTAAACTACACAGAAGACATCTAGAGCGCTTCAGCATTGAGCTGAGAAATACTCTTAATGTTTTTAATAAATGCTAGCATTAGTGGTAAGTATTGAAAAATGTTTTAATTATCTTTTTAATAGTTTCCTGCATAAAAAGATAATATTGGTGTCTGATTTTGTATTGCCTAAAATGACAATATAATTTCCTAAAGTGGTGCTTTTCCTGTGAGTTCCAGGACACAAGCACACAAGGGCGTCGAGTGCCCTTACAAATGCCTTCACCAGTCATCATGCATATTTTTTTTTTGTTTGCACACTGTGCATTTTAGGCATAAAGGACAAGAATAGAGACAAGAAGAGTTAATTGGGAAGGCAGACTGTGGTTTTTGCAATTCTGTGGCTGTTGCTGTCCTTGCATTATCTGAAGCTTTACCATCAAATGTTTTCTAAAGAATCTCCAACTTGAATTGCTCTGAATTTCAGGGGTGGAGGAGAGCTAGGCCTTAGCTGGCACAAAGATGGATGTCAGCATAATAAACTCAAAGGTCTCCATGACCTTAAGGCTTGCATCATGCTGCTGCACGAACTAGGATTTTCTCAGCCGAAATATACAGCACTAGCAGCTGCCAGTGCAGGAGGAGTTCTTGCAGGAGCCCTGTGCAACACTGATCCAGAACTTATCAAAGCCATGGTTTTACAGGTGAGGTGCTGCAGACCTTTTACAGATTGACATTAAACTGTATTTTCTGTTTCATTCTACCAGTTTCAGAATTGGTAACATTCCCTTTTCTCATTTGTTTGAGAAAAACTTGACCTAGGAATTTGAGGGCCTGTGTCCTATTTGCCAACTTTTTATAGTTTGTTTGTTTTAATAACTTCTAAGGCTCCTTTCGTGGATGTTCTAAATACAATGATGAAAACTCATCTCCCACTGACAACTGAAGAACAGGAAGAATGGGGAAATCCATTGGCAGATGAAAATTGTATGAAGTATATAAAAAGCTATTGTCCATACCAGAATATTAAGACACAGGTAAAATTATGGAATACTACAGTAATAAAATGTAGCAGCTTATAAGAAAGTGGATAACTGGAATTTTTAAAAGTCTGTTTTACCTTTTCAGTGCTTTAAACCCCCGTATTTTAGAATTGACTTAGCTATTACTTTGTGTTAAAATGAATCATCAATACAAATACAAACTACTTCAGTAACATTGTAGCTTAGCAATATTTAGAGTCATGGCTACTGAAATTAACCAAATACCTTCTCCTAAATAATCAAATAGATTTCAAAACCTGTTTTTGCTACAGATAAACCATAAAAAGTAGTACAGTAAGATAAATAGAACAGAATTTGTTACTTTGAGACAGATCAGTTGTCAATTTTAACTGGTTTGGTTTTGTAATCTCAGTGTTATCCTTCAGTTTTTATCACGGCATATGAAAATGATCAACGGATACCGCTAACAGGAGTTCTACGATATGTTCAGAAACTTAGGAAGGCTGCACTGGATCATGCCAATACAGCAAGTAAGAAAGGTAAGACTAAAAGCATTACAGATACATGGAGTTAATTAAACCAGAATATTAACAGCCATGTAATTAAATTTCATAGAGATTGACCCCTCCTTAAATGTACTAATTTGTACAATACCATCCAGTATCTAAAGCTCTGATAATAAGTATAATAGATAAACCTCAGCATCTCAGATGCACTCTCCAGAGCCTTAAGAGGCACCAGATATCTCTGTATTGTAGACCTGCGTGAAAACAGGTAAACCTGTATGAGTTATATATTAATCGTGAGAAACCACAACAGACCCAGGAAACTCTGAGATGAGAAAAAAAATCAAGACTGGGAGAATATGAGTTGGGTTCAACTCTTTTCCACGCCTCAACATATGGCAGCTGTTGGACAGAGTTAGGTGAACCCATGCTGTCTAGTCCAGCTATTGATACAGTCAGACTGCAGTTATCAACAACATATGGATAAATATCTTATTTTTGCTGTTCTACAAAAACCTGCTTTTCCCAGTTTGCTGAAACTGCAGGTGTTAGTCCAAGTTAGAATGACAACGATGCCAAGGCATAGATGCTTTTATACCTGAAACTTAACTCTGCCTTTATGACTGTTTCCAGCAAAAGGTACATTCAAGCCTTATTATTTTCTAGTACCACCTAATCTGGGGAGAGGCTTTTACCATCAGTACCAAAACAGACCTTGAATTAGCTTTTCTAAATTTCATTATGCCCCTTCTCTGCCAGCAGCGCAAGTGCAGTTGTTGGCAGAGGATAGCAGATGCTACAATTGCTGTTGCGGTTTTTGCTCAGAGAGAAAAAAGCACATCTTTCCAAAAAGACTCAGAGAGAACAAACACGCTAAATATAAAACAAAAATTCAAATATGTAGTTAATAGAAATATAAATAGTTCATCCAGCAAGCCACTACATGATTCTTATTTTTAATTAAGGAAAAACAGCAGTTCTGTCAGGACAGAAGGCAGAATTATGTATCCCTAAACAACTTCCATCCCCACTTACCTTTTCCTTGTTCGTTCAGTGTCAAGTGATCGCTAGCTTCGTTGTTGCAGGAAACTGGATCCCTAATATAATCTTAGACATCCAGGCAACTGGCAGTCATTGTGATTCATCTTGGGAGGATTCACTGAACGAGGTATGTTCCCTTTATTGCAGACATCCATAACAGGTTGGAGGGAGGTGTCCCCTCAGTTGATACTTCGACCTTAGTAGTTTGTGCAGTCATTGAATATATGGTTGAAGTATTAAAAAAAAGCCTGCTGGAATTAAAGATGTTCTTGCAACCTTTTTTTATATGTATTGCAAGAGCAACTGCTGGTTTTATATATATAAAATGATATATATATATACATTTATATATATGTATCTTTAT